GAGAAGAGAGCACCATTCAAATAGTTTGTAAAGACTCGGCGGTTCAGTAAGGCACCGTAGTGATAAATATTTCCAGACGTCAGATGTGATGTAGAAAAAAGTACGTCACTAAGCAGAGTCATGAAAGTATGAAGACAGCAAGACATTTTAACCCGGGAACCTATCCACAGATGAAATGTCACAAATTGTGAAGACCTCAACACAGCTCGCTGTAAGATGGAAATCTTCGTTACACATGGGCGATTGATTTCCTGTGCTGACGACAAAGTCTTGAGTTTGATACACCCTTTCAGGATGCCAAGAAAAACTAGATATGAAATAAAAAAGGTGTTGGAGGTGGCACTGGAGTCATCTCGCTAAAAAAACACCACGTCAAAAACAGGCACTTTACCTTATGTGCGCTTATTTTTCTCCCTTCCACAACAAGCACGATGTCGCATAATTGGCCACTGCATCGGAGATCATTAAGGCTACTGAAGGCCTGAAAATTGAACGGAATTAACTTCTATAAATCTTCATAATGAGTTTAGTCATACATGATCCATATGTGACCTAAAAGTTTGAGCTCCAACTTTAGAGTGACATTTAACTCACAGTCAGACCTATTCACAGGAACAGAAATGGACTGTGTATAAGTAATTCACCATTTTTGCCGTTGAGCAAACAAGAGGCTATTATTATACAGTGATTACAACCAGGAGCCTATGGCCGAGTGGCTAGTGATGCTCGTCGCGACATCAACCCACCATTCCCCAACACTTCACAACGATCAATAACGAACGCCCCAGCCTGGCTATCTTCGAGACTGCAAGGCTGCTCTAACCGATCAGTATTTTACAACGTTCGTGAAGAACATGAAATCATCAAGCAAGGTATGAGACGAACCGCTAAATTACTTGGCTCCGCACAGTAGAAAAAAAAAAGCCTAAAACTAATAATAGCCAGTAATATCCAATAGTAAAGCCAAAACTTATGCAACGACCTAATATCAGATAATAACTAAATATAAGAAAAATAGAAAGAAAAAAAATTCAAGAGGTCAAAGATCAATTAGAGCACCTGAGAGAAGAGAGACTGTTTGTGGTCGATACAGACGACATCGTCATCGTCTTCAGTGTTCAATGTGAAACGTAAGCCGGACACTGAAACAGTAGCTCAATGAGAAAACGGGTGATCAGAATGAAATCACTCACAGTTTCGATCTCAATTAGACACAAAGATTGCTTACCTTTAAGTAGCTCAGAACACATTGCTGGGAAGACGGCCTGAGTGATTACCAATGGCATTCACTAAAATCTAATTAGTTAATGAAGGAAATTTGAAAACTAGAGAGTGACAAAGCTCAAGATAAAAGCGGAATCAACTAGAAAACTGAATAGTTGACCGTTTTTCGCGATGCTATGATGTTACTAATATATATCCAGTAATGCTGACTGACATGTGATACTCTGATGGTCGCATGGGATTCGAACCCGCATTCCAGTCTTTTCAGGGCGCGTGCTAACTAGTGCACTATCGGCGCACCTGCTCTGCCACAGAGAAATTCAGCTCATTTGCTTGTTTCTTATCGTGATAAAGTGGTAAAGGAAGTCTTAGAGCAGAAAAACAAACGAGCTGTACGACTGCAAGATCACCATCACTTCTCGTTGTTACGAAGTGCTCAAGACATCCAAAGGACAGCGGGGAACCAGAAACAACTTGTGAAATTCTGGAGAATCCCTTAGCTTTCCGCTTCTCTCTGGACTGGTGGTAATCGATTTCATCGCGAGGGAAACATGATTCGACATTCTCTCAGAGGTTCTTTTCCGTTAGACGGCACACGACGAAGAAACAACCCCTTTCGTTGACAAGAATTTTTCATAGGAGTGTTAGTAATCAATCGAAAGCTTGAATCTCTGGCTAGCATGGCACGTTACCGGTTTTTCAAAACACCCTTTTGTAACGCTATCAAATTCAAAATAGAATTATATTTGACATCGCCCGCGCAATTCAACTATTACTTCGCTGGAAGCACGAAAGCACACAAACTTGTAAGGAAAATCTCTCAGTATCGCAGTCAATTGCTCATTCCGCAGTTTCTTCCATATCGGATAAACAATTACTGACTGAATAAGAAAAACCGCATTTTCATAAGACCAGTCGCAGCGAAAATCGATCGATGATCGGGCCAACCCTCTCAGCCCTCTTCCCACTCCGCGACCAGTGAACTGGCCAAAGATCACTTGTTCACGTTTGTGAGTTGATCTTATTTTTTTTTCTGTTACACTGCACAGAAACGGTCTTTGCAGAAAATAAGTATAGCGTTGGAATCCTCGAATCTTACGCTATCGTATGATTACTATCAATCTGAAGAAAGAGCTCTGTCTTGAGAGAAAAACGCGTGTGTGAAATACAAATGTCTTTTTTTTATTGAAGCGTTATAATACAGACTTTTTCAAGAATCGTCCACACACCGCGTTGAGCAGAGATTTAAGTTTTCGATTGACTGCTAATACTTTTGGGTAATTCTCCTCTCCAGCAAAAAAGATCGCTTTTTCATCCCATGCCGCCTGACGGAAAAAAAGCCTTTCGAAGAATTCCGGCCAATCACCTCAACGAACGACTGCTACTCAGAACGTATAAACCTGACCTGGATAGGTTTTCCAGTGTATATGGTGAATATGCAATGTCTCTGGTTTACGAAAACCGTAATATCTGTACTTTACACGAGAACTGAGATCAAAGCTATATCGACAATTATTTGTCTAATGTCGTTGAAAGAGCTCCTTGACTACCGTCTACCCTCTACCGTCAAACAAGCCTATATCCCTCTGCAAACGGTGGCTTAATCGACATCGCATTTGACGCGCGATTTTCGTCTCCGGACAAAAATTTTCTTCTTGTTTCGGAAAATACTTTAGCTTCTCTGTACTACTCTGATAGAGTATGATTTTCTCTACAAGATGGTATAGTTCTTGTGAATGTATAACTCAAACGTGGAAAGAAACTCGAATGTGAAACGTAATTTTATTTTCGGGCTCACAGTGTGCCATGAAAACCTTTTCGAGAACCAGTTTGAGCTCCAAATTTGCCGAGATCTGGGCTATCGAATGATCATAGTGTTGCCCAATAAAATCGATCTACAGACTTCAACTGAGCAAATAAGCCAAACCGGATGTGAAAAATAATTCTATTCTTGCAGCTATACTGTACTACGAAGGCCTTTTTGTGAACTAATCAAAATGCCGGATCCCCCGAAATTTAAACCTTGGAACAGTTACTTGGTCTTTAAAAAAAAAGCTTTGCTGAAAAAAAAAGAGCCCTCCGAAAAATTGAGGGTTAAAATGACCCGCACCGCTCATAAAAGGATATGATTCATTCGACGAAGAGTATGAATTCTGAGAAACTGCTGACTGATCCGTTCAATTGACGTCAACGGTTCTGAAGTTATTGGCTCTCCGTAGTGAACAACTAACAGCAACACAATTAGAAACGATGACTTCAGAGTGTTACACATATAGCGGACTTGATTCTTTTCTGTTAGCCGGCGACAAATTAATTTCCGACCCCGTTTGCTGGACGAAAAGAAAATTCCATAGGAATGTTAGTAATCATTCGAAAGCTGAAATCTCTGGCTACTGCCCTAAGTGGCCGTTTCTCGAGAAGACCCTTTCACAATGCTGCAGCTTCCAGAATAAATTCAGATTTCACATCTGTCGCGCGTCTTCATTTTTATCATGCGTATAATTCACCGGAAGCACGAAAAGCATATGAACGTGTAGGGAAAATATCGTGGTATCCGAGTCAATCGTTATCTGGGGTTTGTTCGAAGCGTAAGAAATTCCTTGAAAAACAAGCCGCGTTCCACATGTATAACCAGTCAGGCCATCGTTCGCTCCACCTCCCCCCCCCCCGTAGGTTAGCCGGTGAACAAGTTGCCGAATATGTGAAACTCAATCTCATTTTCTCTGCTACGTTGCAGTGAAAAGGTCTTTCCAAAAAATGACTACAGCATTGGAATCAATGAAACTTACGCTATCGAATGATTACTGATAGTCTGAAGGAAGAGCTCTGTATCGCGAGGTGTTAAACACAGATGTTCTCTCTCTCTTACAGCGCTATCAAAAGAGTATTAGCAGTCTAAGGAAGAAGTTTCGCCCAGCGAAATATATACGATAGAAGAAAAATCCGCGGTCGTGTGAATAACAATACTGTTATGGATTTTACGCCCTTATAAGAGGGTGTTTTGAGTAACCCGCCAAGTAGGGCGCTACCCAGAGATTTAGGCTTTTAAATGATTACTAACCTTGTGAAAAGTTTTTGTCCAGCGAATGACGTCGAATATTGATTTGCTCACGGATAACGGAAAATTATTGTAGAAAGAAATATATGAAAAATATAAATAAATAGCAGATAAATCCAATGGTGTAGAGTGGTGTGCAAAAATGTTTGCGTCAGCCGGGATTTGAACCCAGATCTCTCTCCAGATCTCTCTTTCCGGGAGCGTATGCTATCCGTTGCACCACCAATTAGGAAATAATTTATAAACGATGAAAACGAATCTTAAGAAAGGCAAGTGACTGACTCTGACGACACTACAAAAAGTCGCTTATCTAAACCTTGATCTACGGGTTTTCACCGGCTATGTTGACCTTGAAGTCGAGCCATATCAAGAGCATCGAACATGTCCCATACGACAATCATCCTCAGGAAAATCAATAAGTACAACTCTCGCACATAGGATCGCAGATCAAAGATCAAAGACCAGGACCAAATAAACCCACGAACTGGTCACAAGCCAATCCGGTGGCTATGTTGCACGAGATCACCGCGCGAGAGCACGGAGTAACTCGTCCTCGTTGGGAGCGAGGAAAGACAAAAAGGGACGCCGGGATAACCGGCCAACACGCCTCCCTTCATGGGACAACGAAACAGCAACAAAAACAAGGTAAACCTTCGCCAGTGGCTTCGGTACAGTCCTAAACGGGCTTAATATCCCACCTAATTGGTATGCGAGCTGAGGGATGGGTGGTGTAGTGGTAGCATGTGCCGCCGTTATGGGTGAAACGCGGGTTCGAATCCCGACACATGTCGAATGTTTTACATACCACTCAATACTAAATGACAAGGAATGAAGCCCTCGGCGTTGATCAATCCCTGAGGGATGAGCCATTCAAATGACTGATCAAGCATCGTTTGAGGTTATTAAATGCAAATTTGGCCCTTACAATGTCTCGCGTTGGCCTATCGCTATATCGAGTCAGCACTGCTTATACTTCCAGAGAAGTCTCTGACCACTTCGGTCCCAATTTACCAACCCCGGAGGTGGTGGATGGATTAGTGAGGCATGGGCTCGGGATCGAACTATTGACCTTGTATGGACGCAGAGCACCTCTATCCACTGCGCCTCACACCACAATTCCAGTAGATGTAAATTTACAACTTTATCTCACTTCTAAAAAGTACTAGCTTTGAAGAATTGGGATTTAGATTGTACGTATTCGATGTGTTCGGTTAGATTGTACTCGCAATTGAACACGAAGATTTCAATCCTCATTCGATCTCCTTAACGTTGCACAGCGGAATTTGTTTAAATGAAAGTAATAGGGAAATAGGTACAGTTTTATCTGGTAGTGAATCAAGGGTATAGAAAAGAGGAAGAGCAATAGAAGTGGAGAATTCTATTATTCTTTTAAGTTTTATCCAAATTCATAGGTACTGCACATAAAAGCAGCAGTTACTTGTGTAAATGAAAGTATTAGGGAATTAATCGGTTGAGTACCGGCGGACCCATGGGCGTGTCTGGCCCCGCCACTCGTCCCGCGCCACCAATCACGTCTGTCCTTTGTGTTGCTATAGTATGCTCGAATCTTTGGCACACCAAACCACACCTTATTCCATATAGTAATACCGTAACATAAGCGATATAGAGAATTATCTCGTAGTGAAAACAAGGTAATAGAGAACATCAAGAATACTAAATAAATAAATTCTATCATTAAGCCTTTCCTTCGAGTGCTTTATTAAGACCACGCTCAGATTTCAATATATCCTTTCATTTTTATTTGAGCCAACATGTCATGTGGTCTGGTAAGGGCTCTTGTACAGCCCGAGACACGTGTTTCGTCCTTACAGACTCATCCTTACAGACTCATCAGCTGAGCAGAACCCGTCAAATTAATATGAAAGGATCTATTGAAATTTGAGCGTGGTCTTAATAAACCACTCGAAGGAAAGGTATAATATGATAGAAATACCAGCCAGCTAGCAGTCGAGTGCGAAAACACTCTGTGTTAGGTGAATGTTTCACCTGACATAGAGTGTAAAGCGTACGTCGTCGATAACTATATATAAGGAGTGCAAGGCTCCCGAGAGAACTGAATATAAAAAGATCGACAGACGACGGGTTCTGCCCGGCTGATGAGTCTGTAAGGACGAAACACGTGTCTCGGGCTGTACAAGAGCCCTTACCAGACCACATGACATGTTGGCTCAAATAAAAATGAAAGGATCTATCATTAAGCATCAAAACATACACATAAAATGAGATTCTAAAACATTGTCTGCGCATTTGAATGTGAAAGATCAAATCGAGACTTCATATCCAGAGACTGAGAATTCAATGAAAAAAGTGGCTAAATAGGCTGCTACTAGCATAAAGAAACTCTACTGATATCATTGACAACTTCGAGGGGGATGTTTGATTAGTAAATGTTGTTGCAAGTCAATCAGAAAGTCATCGTGAGTGAATAGCTCTCTCAACGAAGCGAACTCCAACAAATGATCCCATCTTTTTTGCAATTTCTATATAGGAACACTTACTAACAGGATCGACTATCGGTTAACCTCGGCATCGATATGATAATTCCAAAGTTTTCCTATCCGGCAGACATGAGGTAGTTAATAGACGATTTATTTAGTCTCTTACATCTGAAAAAAAAGCTTACACCTCGCCTCTTCTTTGCGCCTTCTTACATTGACGCTTGGTAGATAGTTTGAGAGCCAAACAACAGAGCCAGAAGCAAGTTGACTTTGAAGTAAATGACAACCAGTCTCCTTTGAGACAACAGCTATATGACTTGACTCAAAGATTGACCATCTATTTTACAAATAATATATGTAAATCGTAAGGAATTATGTTGGAGAGCCGACACGAGGTTGCTGATAGTTGATTTAGTTAAAATCTAGAGACGTGTGGCAACTGCTTGTGGACGAGCCTCTGATTTAAATAGAGGTCCACTCTTTCTGAAAATCTCTGAAGTGTAAGCAATTACCCCTTTTTGTGTCTGAGATTCCGTGAATTGTGATTGATAAGTCAGTTTAAATGAGAGTTTATGATACTACACTGATTGTGTAGGCTATTGAAGCTAGGTAGCCCAAGACGTTGGACTCGGAGAAGAAACGGAGATCGAGTGCTCCTTCACGAATTGGTACGCAGTTGAATTGTTGGCCTTTGTTGTTCTTTGGCCACACGAGTCTCGCTAGCCCCGTGTTAACAGCGCAAACCTCAAACTTGGGTAATTGAACCTTTATAAGCCATATAATCACATAAATACAACAAGTAACGATATTAGTCAATGTGCCTACAAGTTAGATGAATGATATGCGATCAATAGTACTAGAGAAAAGCAGTCATGAGAGCGATGAGGAACAAGCTCCCAAATCCAATATGGAAGGTTAGTGAGAAGCGAGTTCAGCAATTATTTGCGAGTTTTGATGAGAAGCTGGTCCATGACATTATATGCATAAGGTGTGACGAAAGCCGATGACTTCGGTTATAGTTATATCAATGAAACCTCACCTGAACATTATATTGAGTTATCTGAGATTACAGTACAGTGACGAGTAAACGACGTGGAGAGTGCCCTATAGGAAGAGAGGTTAGTTTCACAACATCCAGATGGGCAGGAGCGTGTTGATGAAGCTAAATCTAAAACAGGGATTAAGAAGTGGATCGACATGGCAGCAGAGACTTACGCAGATCACTTACTAAGAGAGCTTAGCATCAATTTAGTCTATTCCTAGCAATGTGGAAGTGGATGGATAAGTGTAAGCAGGAGATCAAGCAATAGGATCAGATGCTGGCGAATTCGACGAGGCATCTAAGATGAAAAAACTGCTATAGTGAGCGTGACTATCCGCCAATCGTCCGTAGATGTTCACCTGTTTTTGACTCACAAAACAGAGTTCGTCTGCCAGCTGAAAGTCGAAACGAGCCATCCGCCATCCGAAGACTCTAGCAGCTGCCATGATTCATTGCCTGACTATTTTGATTATCTAGAATTATAATATTGAATATTCAATGATATGCAAAGAATTAACCATATATCTTTTGTGGAAAGTCTTGAAGGATTTCTATTAGAAGATGTCAGTCGACTAGTCAACAGCTGTAATAGTAGCAGTTCGAGGGTTGACGTTTCGGCGACTTCGCCTTTTTCAGAACCTGGACGAAGAAGTAGGCAAATCGAATCAATCAGTGGGTTATCATTACCTTTATATATTGCCTAGGTCAGAACAGAAGATCAGACGGACTTCGTGTTCGCATCAAAGATCATCTAAGGCGAAATTTCGAAAATAGAAAGCATGCGAGTTCGACTCCGACGCAAAAGTTTTGCACATCACTCTTTCATTGGCTATACCAGAAAAACTGTAGAATTGAAAGTGATCACACTGAGTAGTATGAATCTCTTCGCCTTAGACCTCATTGAGCGACCGAAGGAAATTACCCTTATCTCTCTGTAAACAACACTTGTCTATCTCAACTAATCTTCCTCTACATAGAAGGCTTCCGACGAACTCTTCCTATTTTGCCTCTTGTGGTTTCACTTTACAGAAGAAACAACATTTCTCAATAAGATCAGCCCACTTCTTGGTATTTGCGCACAAATAGGATGGCTACTGTCTTCGGCAACCGAAGATAGCCTATAAAGTGGATGTGATCTGCTCACCGGAACTGTACTCACTATAGTCACACCTAGCCTTCATTCAATAACGAAAAAAAAAAACGTTATTATTCCTTATAATCTGAAATCCGAAACATCAGAAGCTTCAGTGATTAAGAATGACACCTTATCTAACTAATCGAGTATACAGGCTATGAGCGATCCTCTCGAATTCACGTTGCCGTAAGATGTTCCTCAGATTTTCGACCATCTCTATTCAGAAGTCGTTTCATGAGTTTTGACACTACAGCAATAAACACCAAATTTATTATTCAGAGTTAATGAAAATGCATGAATTTGGTGTTGTTCAATTTCTCATTTTCTTGAGGATATTTCGGTATGCAACTTGCCTATACCTCTTTCAGAATGGAGCTGTTTCAGAAACAAATTCGCTTGTGACTCATGCACGACTGGTGCATAGGGAAAAATGTTAGTGAGACGGCGCGCAGGATTAATGGACGGCCCGAGCGCGACTGATCCTCCAGACTGTTCTCTGCAGCTTGAACCTCGCGAATCACTTCCTAGCCGTTTTTTATGCATCCGCATCATCGCCCCAAGCTCCATTAATGTTGCGCACCACATCACGGTCATTTCCGCCTACGCATCACTCTGGCATGAGTGGTAGGCGAATTTCTTCCGACGACAGCTCCTTCTTGAAACACGTATAAGCAAGTTGTAAACCAAAATGTCTGCAAAAAAAAGCGCAACTACACGAGCCATCTGAATCCACCAAAATTTGCAGTTTTGATTACTTCTGGTTGATAAATTCAGTGCTTACTGCTCTGGTGCCACAACTCAGAGAACGACCTCACATTGCCTTCCCCTAGTCTCTTGAAAAAGATACATCGAGACCTGACCACATAAAAGCTAAGAATGAAACAGAAGCACCAAATACCTCACAGAAGTGAGTTTTTTTTTTTGGAACACTGTGTGTGTGTCCAACTACTTTGAAATCACCCCAGAATTCAAAGAAATGGTGAACGATTTTGAAATCACACGATTTTCCAAACCAAGACATGGTATGAATCTGAAATAGTGCATGGCCTTACTTGAATATTCAGATATTTCCGTCTTATTTTATACGCATAGGTTACCGAATCTTTACTATTTTCTACCATCAATAAAAAACGCCCTATTAACATAAAGCAGAGA